AATAAATCCGAAGGAATCAATTGTCTTCAAATGTATATATTAATCAAACATATGTATTAATATCAATAAATTATTATTATATTGATAAAGTTTCGCAAATAATATCCAGCGTGGCTCGAATAACCTATTAATTCACTATTATTGAATTGATTATTCGTAAGAGTCTTAATGTTAGTTTATTTATCAATTAATTTATAAGAATTAGTCAATTAATTTATAAGAAAAAGTTGTTCAGTACTCTTACCTCTATAACATATATATCGAGATCAAAGTCATCAAAGAAGTGTCCCCTAATAAAGAAATACCAATAATGCATATAAATTCTGTTAAATAACATGACACTATAATTTTTGGAAATTTAATCATTTATAATATTTGTGTGCTTTTATATACTAGAAATTCTATTTTTATGCCTAGCAGTTTTTAGTATGCACCAATCTACTGTAATGCAAGAAACTGAATTTGCTACAAAACTGAATTTCCTAATTAGTTCCACTAATTCGTAATAATTCATATAAAAATTGATAATTCATGCAATTTGTAATAATTTAATTGAGCCATTTGTTTTCAGCGCAATCTATTCCTGTATATGTATACAAGAAAAAAATTCTAAGTAACTTCTTTTTTCGAAATTTTCGAGCAGCATTAAACTAAACGAAATATCATAGCTCACATCACTTTGGTCACGCAATCGCAAGATCTGTTTCCAAAAATCTTAGCGATTTGCGCAATTTAAGTTGCCATAATGTCAAACAATTCATGATCCTGCCTGAAAAAAATCTTAGATAATAGTCAGCGTGATATCGCTATCGCGCGATTAGAGGAGAGTTCACATTATCGCCGATATTGCGAAGCGGAACGATATCAACAGGTACATTGATGCACCGTGTCATATCACCGACACGTTTCGCATCGTATCGCGTATAGATACATATTGTATTCACGGCGCGGACACAAAGCGAGAACGCGATCATTGGCATTAATCGGCGTCGTCGCGTCTTGCTATGCGTGCATGGTGCACATATTTGTATTTACCTGTCGGATCTGAGAGACAAAAACACGGATCTGAGAGACAAAGACACGTTTCCTTGAGATTTCGCCTTGAAAATTCCACTACAATCGATGGCACACCATTGTATGTACCGGCGATCACAGCACCACTCGGTACCACCTCACCAATAACGTCGAAAACTTCGCACGACTCCGTTGCCGTTTCTACGTCCGCTCGTCGTACTCCCGATCGAGCCGTACTCGTCGATCCACTGTACCGAGCGCAGCACGCTTGGCGTTCATATCCAGGCACATCCGATGCTAGAAGCAACTGAACCGTTCTTGAACACGGGCTGCGAACGAAACAAGACGCGAATAGAATACGAATAAGATGGAACGCGTAAAATCCCAAACTTTCTTGCCGAATACGTCGTGATGCGTTGCTTCGCGGTACTAAGAACTGGGAGTCACTAGGAGTTGGGAGGGAAAAATCGTGTCGTAACACTCATCACTCGTCACTCCTCGCTCATCACGGCATTCACAGCCACGCACCATCGAAGTGACGTTTACGTCGGACGTGATCGGGCGTGCTCGGCAGAGCCCGAACCATCGAGAGTCGAGAGGATCGAGTCGGGTTTCAGACGCATGCGCATCCAATGTAACTTTTGGCTGGCTGACTGGTTCTCGCATGGTGGAAATATATAAGGTGAAATATTACGCATTATGACGGTAGCAGTACTGAAAATAGCCAATCAAATATGTCCGATATGCACTTTCCTACGTATAATAACGCTGATTATATTGGAATAGCCAGTCAAATATGTCTGAATATGCACTTTCCTACTGCGCATCCATGGGAATACTTCACCTTAAATTTCCACCATGGGCTCTCGCAGATGGTATATATGTACTATCATGGTGGAATTAGCCCGAATTCTCATACGAACAACAGCGTTCTGACATCGAACGCTGATTGGCCGTAAAAAACGGATAAATCGCAGATTGTGGGGATAAATTTTATCCCCACAATCTGCGTTTTTGGTATCAAAGCCTATTGTTCCACTTTTTGGTAAATTTTTCCTATTGGGTTAGATTATCCTAGCAAGATTATTCAATCACATGCGCGGATTACCAGATTCACATATGCGGATTACCAGATTCACATGTGCGGATTATCAGATTTAAATAACATCTTTATTTGCAACTGACATGAATGTAATGTTTGATGATTCGATTTTATATATTATATATGATGTTTTCGAGTTTTTATATATTATTATTTAGTTTTTAGTTTAATTTGTAATAGTTTTTATGTGATTATTTTTATTTATTTTTTATGAAAGTCGTGCTAACATTTATTAGGAACAATTTTTAAGTGATCATGCCATATTTATGAGCAATACAACACCTTGGGGTTGATTGTGTATCTCGAACAGGATATCAATCATAAAACTTTTTTTCTAGGATGAAAAGTGAAAAGTAAAAAATTTTTCCATTAAAGATTTAAACACAATAGGCACAGGCAATAGGCACAAGCAACAGGGAATAACATTCAATCAGAGCTCTGATGTATAAGATTCAATATTATATTCCAGAGCTCTGATTGGATAGCTCGTTATTTTCTGTTATTGGATAGCTTGTTATTTTCTGTGCTTATTGCCTGTGTCTATTGTATTTAAGTCTTAGGGATAAAGTTTCATGATTGATAATGAAAATTATAAAAATGAGCAATTTTTTAGAATATTCATAATTTAATTAGTCAACATCTAATAAATTTGCTCACTTTTGAAATTTTTCAAAATATACAATCGACTTCCTTGTCTAATTCCACTATGTGTATATATACTATGATGTAAAAAGACAAGAGAAGCGATTCTTAAAACGAAATGAAAATTTCAAATATGAGTGAGAATTTATTAGAATATTGATAATTTTACTGGTCAACACCTAGAAAAATTTGCTCACTTTTGTAATTTTTACCTTGTTTGAAGATATAGAATCGACCCAAAGATGTGTAAATATCACGTATGCGTAGTAATCCATCAATCTTGATCAATAAAGGCTATCACACATAATGGCTGCGTTCAGTAGATTCAACAGTTGAGTGAGTGCTCGTTGTTCGTTGTATTCTTCCAGATCTAAAATGCTAATTGGATGATCTAAAATACACCAATAACAAAACTCACTCAACTATTAAGTTCGCTGAATGCAACCAATGACATGAGTTGCATAAGATAGCATAGCATAAGATCGCTACGCCAATAAAAATTTGATCAATATGGTGTCTTTATGTCGAATTATTAATCTAGCGGTCTTGTGCTACGCTATGCAGTTTATGTTATTTTGTGTGGTGACCCTGAAGGGAGAGCACAGACTTTTGCATAATATATAACACGTAATTCATAAAAAAATGTACTGTGTAAAAATGTCTGTGCTCCCCGCTTAAAGGTATATCCACACAAACTTGTCACATTTTACGTGCGTTTTTATAGGAGAAATGCGATTGGATAATTTTCTTTATGCATACGTTTATGCGGCTATGCAAGTTTGTGTGAATATATCCTAAGAATTGAGTTCAAAATCGAAATAAGAAAAGATTTGTTCGCATTGCACGCTCCAACATGCCTAAAACCGGTTCTACATTAGTTGCAAGCTGATCGCAAGTAGAACCGGCTTTAGAACATATTCCATGGATCAATTAAGAACACACTCCATTTGTCACATCTCAGAAGGTGATTGAGACATGTTACGCACGCATGCGTAATGATTGAAAATGTACTGTATCGAAAAAAGTATTTCAAATGTAAGTCTTGCGCGGACATTCAAACGAATCGGACGTGTGTTTCGTCTCGCTTCGGATGTTACATCACCTCAATCATATTTTTTGAAAAACATGGCCGGCTTCGATTGTGCATTACATCACTGATAGTCCTTTTATTCGTCTGGATGCGCGTCCGTGTGGCGCTGAAACGTCATAGTCGCAGGCACTTAGTATCTAAAGGGGCGTCTTCCATTTTCGCTTTGATTGCATCATGCTTTTTTTGTTACTTCTGCTCGGTTCGAAGTGGTCGGTGCATTGTATTCTGATTTTCGAATTTGTTTTTACTATATCTCGATTTGGAAAAGACTGGTCACTCAAATATGAAGAAGAAAAAGATTTCAGATTCATTTTGTATAAAAATGCATTTAATAAATATAAAAATATAATATAACAATATAATGTAATATTAATAAAATAAAATAATGAAACAAAATAAAATTAAAAATAAAATTAATTAATTTAATTAATTAATTAAATTAAAAAAATAAATAAAATAAATAAAATTAG